GAAACTCTTGGATAAAGAGTGCGGTGAGGGAGGTTGAAAATAATTTGCTAAGCTGCTTCACTGCAAAAACATTGGGCGGCCGTTCAGAAAACCTTCAGTGTGCAACCTGAAAGCTTCAGTCTGGCAAAGGTGCTAGAGGGTGGTTGGGGGATCATGCCGCTAGCCTCGTGCTCTGGAGAAACCTGAACTGTCGCTGTTGTGTTAAACTGATGTAAAGCAGTTCTGACAGGGAAACTGAGGTGAAAATCTATATTCAGTATGTGTGTTTGTTCTTGTTTTAGGGTTAATGTAGTAATTGAAAGCCCTAGCATCTTTTCTCCAATGCTGAGCTGCAGCGCAGGTGACAGTGGTGTGAGGGCCTGTGCATGGAGCGTCACTGACTGGGCCTCAGTGGGAGCACTGCTGAAGTGTGCTGGGCTGCTTCTGGAAGAGGTGACCCTGATGCCACATCTCTCCGGTGGTGCTGGCTGCTAACTGTAAAATACTGCAGGACAAACCAATTTATCTCCTGAAACTGGCTCTCCCCACAGCCCCATAAGTGCTTGAGGAGACGCCAGGATGGGAACTTGAGGTGTTGGGTAGGACAGGAGTCCTCCCTTTTGGGAGCAACCAGGGTGACATCAGCTGGACTCAGCTCTGAAGAAAACACAGAATGACTGAGACCCCTGCTCTCTTAAATCCCTGGATATTTCTTCTGACTTTCCTCTGTGGATCATTCCTAAAGCTAACAAACAAAACCTTCAATTTTCATTTAATTTGAGACAGAAGATACCTACAATTACACTTAGCATCCTCAAAAGTCTTTCTGGAATTTAAAGATCAGCTAGCAACAACCTCTGGTTATGGGTGTAAAGAAGAAACATTTTATATCAGTGCCAGTCTCCTAAGCCACACTGTATTCTTTGAAGATGCATTTTTAAAGTACTCTGTGTGAGCTGCATTATGTGCGTACATTTAAACCTTTGAATCCCTCAGTGATGTAGGACTAAGTGTAAAGACTGGTATTTCGAAAGACAGTGAGCTATTGGAGAAATGGAGAAGTGTCAAGCCCTTCTAGGAATGTAAAAGGTATTGGTATGAGGGGACAAAATACTTAATTCCTTGAAAGACAGCCTGTTTCTCTAGCTAATCCAAATGAAAAATACACTCCAGCTATCTGCCTTCTTAAAAGGTGACAAACCAGTAGAATTCTGTGATGACCAGTTTGCTACACCGTGCTGATTTATCTATCCACTGCTTTCTTCAGCTTTTATGCCAGTGGTATTTCCAATTTAGTTTGAAAGGTGAGGACCCCATTAGTTGATGTCTACCGCACCGTAGACAAAGTTGTTTGATAAAATATTTGGACTGCAAAATGCTCTTCTGAATGTTGGGTTTTGGTTACCCTGGAGGTTGAGTGCCTGACTCGTTTGATCTGACAAGGAGTAATGCTTTGTAGCTTAATTTAAAAATGAAATTAATGTTTTATAGAAGAGCTTTGATATCTGCAAACAGTCATTAACAATTCATGTCCTCTGTGCTCTATAGCTTGTAGAGCAGATACTTGTGAGATTTTCTGTTTTAACTCATAAACTTCTTTATTTCCAGGAAATAAGATTTTAATTTCTACATCTTCATATGGAATTTTATAACTTAGCCATTCTAGAACACTGCCAATGTAGAAAAAGTATATACATGCATATAAAATTTTTGCTTTATAAAAAAATATTAACATCTGTTGCAACTGTTTGCAGTTATTGCTGTATGGTATTGTAGTCTTCAGTAGAGAAAACAATATAATTAAAATGAAGAGGACAGAGACCCATTACCTTTGCTGAACTAAAGTATTTTTTGACCAGTAATTCATTAATTATCTGATGCATTACAGAGCTGTTTTTCTTTTAAAACAAAAACAAACAAACAAAATAAAACAACAACAACAACAACAAACAACTCCACTCTCCAAATTGTGTCTCCGAAACAATTAGGAGGAATGATCTACAAAACCATGAAAAAAAAATAGCTTAGAAAAAACAAGTAGGGAGAAATAACTTAGAAATACATGATCAACAATGAGAAGTTGCTTGAGAACTTTAGTAGGTGCTCACAAAACAAATTAACATAGCTGAGAAGTAAGGCAGTAGGGCTGCCCTGACTTAAATTGTATTGTTTTGAAGGGCAATGTTAATGAATGGTCATAATAAAGTCACTGAGATCTTGCATAGTGTGATTTTTTTTTGCTTGTTTTTTAACCTGTTTAGTATTTTTATCAAAGATATGGAAAACATTTAAAACCATTACTGATTAAAAAGAAAAATGTTGGAGGTAGGAAGCCGTTGGAGAAATAGACACTCGATCACTGATAAAGAGAAGTTGGATTCATTGACTGGGCTGGGTTCAGGCTCATGTTATGTTTTTCAGCATATCCAAATATAATTTTACATCTTGAAATAATGAATGCAGACTATTATTCCCTCTTTACTCCAGAAAGCAATTATTTGTTAGAGGCAAAAAATATTGTTTCCCAAGAATGGGGAATCACAGTTGTCAGTTGAAACTGGACTCATGGGGTTATGCTTTGGCCAAAAGGCCTTATGCATCCAAGAACCGCAGTGCCGAGGTTACATTGCCTCTGTGTTTGGTGTTGCTCTGTAAAAGGCTGGAATGCTGGTTTGAGATGGGCGTAGGACACTGAAAACTGGAGATGATTTAGGGAAGGGCTGTAAGAATGATGAAGGAACTGGAAGTGTGCTATATGATGAAAGATTTAAAGCTCAGTCTGCTTAGTTTAGCAAAAGTGTGGGTAGGAGATGATTTGATCACAATCTTAACATGTCCGTGTGGGGAGTAGAAATGTGATAATAGATAGCTTCTCCTAGAAGATGATAGATAGCAAACAGAAGGAAAATAAGAACCAGCAGCTTGAAGTTGAACTCAGCCAAACTGGTTTAGAAATAAGGTGCAAGTTTTTACCAGGGAAAGCAGTTAAACATTGGAACAGCTTAGCAATAGCTGTGATGCGTTTGCAAACACTGGAAATGCCATAATTAACATTACATGTCTTTCTGAAAGATGCACAGTGTTTTAGGAACAAGTGTGAAACTTCAAACGAAAATTAATACAGCAGAGCCTGTAATATTCGGGAATTGGAATGCTTGGATCTTTCCTTAAAATCCAGGTTGATACAATAATGTAATACAGTGTAATGATTAACATCTGCTCATTTTGATTCTGTTTTAACATATAGAATAATTTTAAAGGTATTTCTATATGGCACAATGTGCTGCAGGTATCCATGCTGGCACGGAGCAATCTGGGTTTGGTACCAAGGGCCTCCAAGCTTTGCTAGCGTGGTTGCCTGACAGGTACTTTTTATTTTACCTGACATGCTAATTTTAATGATAGCTTGTAATGTTTCAAAGTGTGTATTTCTCAGAATAGATATATGCAAAAGAATAAATATCTTCATTTAAAATAAGAGGATTCTCAAAACAAACAAGCAAAAAGCACACAATAAAAAAAACACCAAACTTGTAAATTGATTAGTCATATCAGTTTTATCATAACAAATTTGAACTGGAGTGTTTATTTTTTTTGAGCTGTTGTTTTGGTGTATTAGACAGGTTTGTAGTGCATTTAATGTCTCTGCTCTTTAGCTATGAGTTTCCAGTGCAGGTATAATAAATACGGGAAATATCCTACCTCACTTTCCAACTGTTGGAATGCCTTTTCCTGTCTTGCTTAGATCTGAATGTTGTCAGGCTCCTCCATAGTACAGTATATGGTTCATATAGCTTATTGGCCTGTGATCTGCCAGTACCTTTGTGGACAAGCTACTTAAAGCATATGAGCTGCCTTAGAAAAGAGAAAGGATTAGGAAAATACTGAGTTCATAACGAAAATGGAATTATTAAGACATAGCCTTTATATATTCTATAAAGTAGATAGCCTGGAGCTGCCCCACTGGAGAAGTTCATATCTTTAAGAAAAGTTGAGTTGATAGCTACCAGTATCTTGGGCTTTCCTTCTTGATGACTACTGGTATGCTAACAGTACACTGTAGAATTATATTTAAAAATATGTCTCTAACTGTCTTGTCATTGAAAGATTACTATGCAACAACCTTTTGATGTCGTTCCCCCCCCAGTATGTAAATCTAGAAGTTCATGGAACTTTTTTATCCACTTTATGAAATGGTAAAATGTTTATTATGAAACGTAAAGCTTGGCTGCCATATTTCTAACCAGAGGCATCTGATATTTTTGAAATCTAGGCAATTTAGCATGTAGTTACAATAAACCTCGAGATATTTGATTGTATTGAAGCTTTATACTCTCATCAGATTAAACTATTTTGCTTTCATCATTGTCTTTCAACATAAACACAGTCTGTTTTTGATTAAAAGTAGCTTATGTTACATTCTGTACGTATCGTGCTATGGAATTATTTCTGAAGTGAATTCCATATCGACTTCACAAACTTTGAGATTTAAAATTAGAAAATGTTTGCAATCGCTGTGTAAAACCTGAATAAGAAACATTAATCCATACAATTGTCTTCTTGCTAAATAGTTTTGAATAGTTGTTAATCATGAGTTTTACCTAGCGTCTGGTCAGGAAGGTTTATCAATGAAGGATTTATTTGCATGTGTGCTTTTTATTTTTCACAGGATCCAAGTTGATGACTTTTAAAAATCTTTTCCTTTTCAGAAATGTTACAATTTGAATTGATAGGATAAATTCAAATCCGTAGAATCTATTTTTATTCTTACTATTTGCTTAGAAAGGAATCGAAGGTTTAAACACTTCTCTAGGAAATTCTCTAGTAAAAAAACATTCTAGTAATTACTCAGTTTAGATTTATGGGATGATTCCTCATTTCAGTGAAAATGCAAGAGGGAAAATGCAGCTACACTTAAGTACTGCTAATATCATACAATTCATATATTTCTTAAGTAATACAGGTAAGAAATGACAAGAGCTGTAATTTATTACATTTTTATATTTGTTTTTCCTTTTCAGTCAGTGGTGAAGACTGGGCGATTGCTGATTAGCCATGAGGCTCCTTTGACAGGAGGGTTTGCATCGGAAATCAGTTCTACAGTTCAGGTACACAGATTTTTTGTATTTAAGCATTCTGCATGCCTGAGTGTGTTTATCTATAGAAATAACGTTTATCACTATATTAAAAATCGGGGTTTTCATATTTTTTGATTTGTTTTGGTTTAATTTCAGATTTCTGCATGCTTGCATTACTTTATCTGAACAGATAAAGTTAATTCTAAAGTTCGCACACAAAAAAGCTATACAGACAGTTAAACTTAGAAATTAGCCTTTTTTTCTTCTAGAAAATCATGGAGTTAATTGTTCTGGGAATGTAATTTTGAGTTAAATATGCATAACGAGTCAGAAAACTAAGTTTCTTAGTATTTGTGAAACATTTTTTTTAAGAGTAGTTGTATTAATTTTAATGTTACTGTGAAGATAATTCACTTTGTGTATGAAAATTGTCTTCATGGAGAAGCAAATATTTATCATCTAAGCAGTGTTTGATCCCTCTTCCATTTCTCCCTTTCTAAAGGTGACCTTGTTAATTGAAATAGGTCTAGTAGTCATTTGGCACTGCCAACCTTGTGTCTTGAAAGTGATGATTTTTCTTAAATTCTTAGGAAAATGTCAGAAGTTAATCAGTGGTACCTGTCTTTTAGTGTTGTGTGTTACTATTAATTAACACCTGAAGAGAGAACTTTTTTTAAAGTCAGGCAGCAATCTCATGATTTAGTGGCATAAAAAATATTTTTGTTGGAGAGAAAAAGATGAAGAAAAAAACTTATCGGTAAATATTACTGGAAGATTCATTTCATGGTATGATCAATATATTGCTGAAACTAAAAAATGAGTTTTTAATCTCCTCAGACCTCGACTAAGAAAGGGACTCACGTGGTTGATCCATCTTGGCTTGTTTTTCATATCATTCATTTCATATTGACAAGTATGACATATTTAGCAAACGAACTTTAAAAATCTTTAATAAAGGACTGTTTCTTTTGGTTCATACTGAAAGCATATATTTGTTTCATGATGGTAACTAATAATCTTGCATTTAAATTTTTTAGGAAATGAGGATTTGTTTCTTGAGAAATATTAGTTAATTTATCACACATGCTACTTCAGAACAAATTGAAATATAACTCTTTGGCATTGAATTTATCCATCGTGAGTTTCTTTTGGCTGACTTGAACCTGTTTTATAACTATACTGTTGTTACTCTTTATATCTGTTCTTGAAGATTTCAGCATCCTTTATGAAAGTTTCGATACCAGTTATTTTTTAGAATATCCATTCTGCAAAAGAGAGCAGAACATCATTTGCAAAACGTAACAGCTTTTTCAAGAGCAGTAGGCATAATAAAGACCCTGCTTTTTAAATTCATTTAAACACGTTCCTTAAACAATCAAGTAAAGTCTATATGTCTGATATCAGTGTGCAGTAAAAATAAAAATGAAAAGTGAAATTCATTTTTACTGGATGCGAAGCATACTGAGAATGCCAAAAACTGTGGATTGCAGTTGGCTTTAGTTTCCTCTTACACATGGAAATAATAAGACTTCAATCAATTGTGTCCAGTTGGATTAGATGGTTAGTTTCCATATTGTTATTCCATCCTTGCCATGAGGTCTCTCATCATAGAAATAAGGTGAATAAAAATACACAGGTTACTTCAAAACAGTTAACTGTCATAAACATTTCATGGTAACGTAGATATCAAGGAAATGAGTGTGATTGGAAATGATGGCTTTCACTCATGAGAAAACTATATGGAAGGTTTCCTTTTCATTATTTGAAAGATAAAAGCATTTGGAGAGCATATTAAATCAGAACTCTTCTGTGTCAAGTACAGAATATTTAAAAGGGGGCACATTATTGCATTAAGTAGTCATTCACTCTGATTTCTTACACATATAAAACTAAAAACAGGATGAAGTGGTGTGGTTAAAACTCCATGTGATAAGACTTTGCCCTTAGTACTGATGTTTTTACATGTTCTCAATGGGTATTATGAAGTGAGCAACAGATGGTAGGATAAATTCAATACAGGTACAGTTAATACTGCTTGTTGATTATATTGTGTATAAAAGCTTGCAAAAGTGTTCAGCAGGGAGGGCCCTAAACTTTTCCTTAAGGGACACATTGGAGCATATTTGGAGGAGCCTTGGAGAAAGGCCCACTGAGATGTCATCTCCAAAATTGGGTGTGGAAATCATCAGCACATTATTAACTTGCAATGTAAAAGAATGCGAATCCAGTGTTTGCACCCCTGTTGAAGAAGAAAATGAGAGAAATGGTGTTTTCAAAGAGGGGCTAAGGGGGGAGGCTCCCTTGTGAGAAGGCACAGCCACGGGCAAAGGAACCCCAATAGCCCAGCCTGGGAGATGGAGCCCCTGACCTGGCTCCTCCTGAGGCTGTCCCCGTGGGCTGAGAGGAGACAGCCAGCAATAACTGTCAGGGCAGATTTTGGGTAAAAGGGGGAGAAGCAGGACTGGCTGCTTGCCCTCAGGCTGGTTGGTAGGACTGTCCGGCACTATGCCCAATCAGCACCATGTGTCCGGTCTTCTCATCACACCCCGTTTCTAACCCTTTTCCCATGTGGGACACTGCCTTGTGTTTGAGGGAGTGTATGGTCTGAGTGCCAGCACCAGGAGCGTGTTGGTGTCTGTCACCAGCCAACCTCAAGCTGGACAGCAGGCTGAGCGACTTGGGAGGCAGGTGTACGTGTGGGCAGCTATCTCTGGGAGAGTCAACTGGAGGAGCTGCCCACTGGAGGGACCAAGAGGTCCAAGCCAGCTACTTGCTTAGCAGCCTTTGAGCATGTTAAACTGACAAGAGGAGGAATTTATGTAAGGGTAATGCAAGTGCCTGCTGTACTGTTTTGCCTATTCACTTCTGTTAATCTTGTCATCACTGTATTTTAATTAACTTGTAGTGTTTCACCTTCTAATGTATCTACTCTCCAGAGCTATTTATAGGTGAGGTTGACCAACCATGTTGTTTCTCTAATTGAAGTAATCAGTGAACCTTCTAAAAGCTGCCTTCCAGAGAAGCAGCTTGCAGTCCTGCTCCTTTTTTGTCATTGCTGCCATACTGACAAAATAAAGATGATGGTGTGATATGCTTTCAGAAGGAAATGGAAACTTAATAGGGAGCTATAAACAGAGAACTGTAGAAGGGGAAAATAAACTCAGTTACATAAAGGATAAAGTGATAAAGAACTTTATGATGAGCTCTGAGATAAAGAACTAATCCTTCATTTTAGGAGTCTTTCATGATTTTGGTGGTTAATAACCATTTTATCAGATCTCTTTATTAGTAGCTGCCATCAGTGTTCCAATTTAAGTAATGTTTTTCTTTTCCTTGCAAATGAAGGGATTATTATTCCAGGTTGCTTGTACTGGTATGAGTCTGTGAGCACAGCTGTATTGATTGCTTTGTAGAAAGATGCCAGCTGCCCTGACTGTGTCCCCTCCTAGCTCCTGGTGCACCCCCAGTCTCCTCACTGGCAGGGCAGCACAAAGAGCAGGAAAGGCCTTGACTTAGTGCAAGCACCGCTCTGCCACAACTGTTGGTCTGTTATCACCACTACTTTCATCAAAAATTCAAAACACAGTAATCATATGAGTCTCTACAAAGAAAATTTACTCTGTCCCAGCATAACACATCATCTCTTTGTTTCATTTCAAAATTATCCTTCACTCTGGAATGTAATACATTAGAAAGCTAAGTTTACGTTGAAGGTCTTATAGGTCTTGTTGTGGTCAATGTAACATATCAGATTTGAAGAAAATTCTGTGGAGGACTTATATTTTTTCCCTTCTCTATTAGCAGGTGGCATTTTAGTATGAAGTCTCAAACACTTATTTTTGTTAGTTCGTGATGTATTAGAAGAGATTATTTGAAACTTGGGTGAGGCTGAAAATTTCATGGCAATCTGAAGAAGCTGGTATTTCTTTAAAAGCATTTTGAATTATACAGTTTTGAGAGAAATGTAAATCTGAAACAAGTAGCTTTTGTTTTTAAAATGAGGTTTTAAATTGACACTAGTATAATAGGTAGTTGTTGCAATTTGCTATATTTATATAAGTTCTGTGTATGATGGAATGTGCTTGCTAGTTTGAACCTTAGAGCTTATTCTGCTTAATTTCTGGTCCATTTTGATCCAATACATATGAACTACTTACCTGCGGGACTTCATCAACACTTGAATTGGCATAGTACAGCATGTAATTTCCTTTCTTGTTATTCAAGTCACCTTTCTTCTCCTTCTTTATGCAAACTCTTTTACAAAAACTGTACTACGCTTCTGAGAAGTGATGGTAATTTTATAGAGAATGTATTGAGAAATTGGAAAGTAGAGGAGAATGGAGTTAAAATTGCTGGGGGAATTTATAGGTAGAGTAGTTTAGGAAATATACATGGGAAAGGATCATGACATGAGTGCTGACTAGTGGCTTGATTTTTTTTTCCTGTCTTTTAGGGCTTCTACATCAAATGTGTAGCTTCCTGCTTTCTATGGGACTAGATGTGGGAATGCTGTATTATGCCTACAACAATATGGTAGTCACTATTTTCTTTTAGGACTGAAAATAAATGTAAATAAACATGCACAAACCATCTGGCATTGATCTTGCAAATATAGAAAATCTGTGTCACAAAACAGTCTTGGTGGTTTCTCCCCCACTATCTACAAATAATATTTAAGTTACTAAAAACATAGAAGATGCTTTACTAATTTTGAATGTTTTATTTAAGGTTTTTGAACTTTAATTTATGAAATTGGATTGTGCACATTAGAAACTTTACAGCAGAATCCACCATGAAAATGTGCCTTACTTATTGACTCACAAAAAACATACATGGTTCGAGAAGGGTGTGAGCTCATTGCCATCTATGAAATAACAGGATGGCACACTGTTACTTGCACAAGCTTTGCACAGATGTAACAAGGCACGTATTTCCTTCATTCTTGCAAGAATAGAGCAGTGCTGGTTTAAGGGTGAGTTTCTGTCTTTGTAATGCGGTTTATTTTCTTATTGCCTGGCAGCTATTTTGAC